TGAAAACACAGTGCATTATTTACAATCAATCGTATTTTATCTTTCTAATTTCCCTGGCCAAATATAAAAAAGGCAGGGGAAATTAGAAATGTTGTTGTTAATTTCTTGCTTTATAGAAAATTCATTCACTCAATGATACATCAATATTTATACTATAGAGAAATGGAAACTTTTAAAGATCGTTATTATTTTGGCTGGCAAGTTAGGTTTGTACCGTCATAAGTAGAAATTGTCCTTGTTGAGCCTCAGACGTATTAAATAACGGATAACTACGTATTTAAGTCGGTTGCTATCTATCCTCCTAATATGCCATGTTCTATCGTTCTTTGACAAACCTTGATCGTGGACTTTTGATTTTCACTTATCTGATCTTATCGTTACCTGGTTAAATTTGGTATATTTTAAGATGCAAAATCCTTTTTAAAAGTTGTAGTGTATAGACAATAAAAGTCTCTGCGGACCGCCGGCTAGATCTTATAGGATCTCAAACGTTTTTTAGCAAGCTATCCCTGTGCAAGCAGTGTAGACGAGTTTGAAGTCGTTAAATCGGTGGCAAGAAGGAATATTCACTACATAGAGAGTCGACGACTTGTCGTGGACGACAGAGTAGAGGGGACTAGGCTACGTGGACCGTAACCCATGCGATGGACCGATCAAATAAAATCTGCAGTGGTCCTTTGCGTGCGTACACCAAGCGCTAACAGAGAGAGAGGGCGAGATATCGTGAGGCGAACCACATTAGCCTTAAAAAAGACTGATCTGGGACAGATCGCATTAAACGGCTCCGTTTATTGCAGTGCGTCCACTATATCCGCAGCAATCGGATTGCCGACGCAACTAAGAGATATCGGAATACCGTCGCCACTTTTCGTCCATGGTCAGCAACAACGTGGTCGCCGAATGCAAAATAGCAAATGACTAATATGCAATCCGTATGACGTCGTCGCCACGCATCGGAAAAGTTGCCCCTCCGAGCAACTGCGTCGGCGTTACCGACAGGCCGGTGCGTGCGGTCCGTGAGTGATCATTGGTCTCAGTTTCGAATTCGGGCCGGCCAATCGGAGCGCAGTTGGCAGAATTGTTTTCAAACAAATTAAATGACATTTCGTCTCTATTTCTCGTTATATACTCGATGCTCGGCACGGACGCGGGCGCGGACAACCGCGGCGAGTAACTACCTCAGTTTGCTTTATTGTTATTAAAGTCATACGTAGAATTGCATAACATAGTACAATGTGCAATACGTAAATTATCCGTTAGTTTAGTTCGTACCGTGCTTCGCCATATGAAATTATAACTAATTTCTTCGTCAGAAAGCACCAAGACGACAAAAGTAACTTGCCATATTATTTACCTTACGACGAGATAGAGAGTGCCAGGGAAATCACATTCATTTATCTACTTACCAGGAGCTGGAGTAGGGCCGATGTCTTTGGGTGCCTGAGTGTCACTCTTTCCGAACGTTGTCAGCGCCTCTGAAGATTCCCCTGTCAGCCATCCCGCTAGTAGCAGCGGCAAAATGGCCGCTGCAGCTTGTCTACGGCACCACATCTCGAACCGCCAAAAAATACGCATTTTTAAGAGATTTTACTTTTCTTGGTTGACTGTACACTCTCTTCAAACAAAACAGATTTTATTCTCAGTATTCGCGGCACGTTCTTCGGAAATTCGAATTTTGAATATCTAAAAGTGGTTACGAAATTAAACTGTGACTATGCCAGTCCAAATTAAAAGAGAGCGTAAGTTTTTTTTCTTTTTTGGCGCAAGATGTGGTGTTGACATGCCTGAAGAATCACCCGACGTGTTACCATAAAAATCTCTGACAAAATCATCAATACCTTTACAATGACTTTTTCACATTCGTCGCTAGGGGACCGCATAATAAAATTTATATATAAAATGTTACTTCAAGGGGCCACTAGATGGCGCTGTACAAATTTCAATATAAAATTGTCAAATACTTTACGCTATCGCTAGCGACAATTGTCAAAGTAAGCTCATGGTAGAGGTGCAGAATTTATTTTGAAGTTTTGCCAGATAACTTTTATTACTCCTTGGCAATTTCTTTTACCTAACAGGACAAGTTAATATGTTTTTTGTCAATGTTTTAAATATATTTTATATTTGCGTTGTTGGATCATTCCATCTGATTAAATCAAAAGTTTATGTAATGTCACTTTCTTGGCTTAAAGTTATAAAGTTCGTAGGGTTTCGCGATGCATTGGTAATGAAACTACTATTTCGAGATCTAATATAAAATAATAGCTATTTGTTATGCAAGGCTGCAAAGTTGTTGTATTACGCGAATGCTTGTATTGAAACCTGCGCAAGCGAAGGAAGCTAAGACTAGAGATTCCTGAGCGTAGCGAGGGTTTCAAGGCCCGAGACGCAAAACAACTTCGCTGCCGAGCGAAACACACAACTTTTCACCTCACTATAGCGAGGAAATTAGATGAAAGAAAAAAAGTTGAACTATAACAAATCAATTTTAATAAAAATGATTAGTAACCATTGTCAATTTAATGTCAACAATAATAAGAACAAAATATACCAACGGATTTAGTTATTACGCAAATAATGTAGGACAAATCGCATAGTGGACA